TACGCCGAGCATATTATAAAACATAAGCGCCACCTCCCCCACACCATCAGTCACACTTCAGGAGAAGGGAAATAGCAATGAGATTGAGCATTAACACAATTTTTCTAATATGTATTCACCACAGGCAATATAATTTTCTTATTCAAAAGTTGACAGGAGGCTGAAATGTCAGTTCAAAATCAAAAGACTTTGAAGATCAAAGCTATAGCTAAGGAATATGCTTAATAATCACTATTAAATGTAAAAACAAAAATGAATCTAATAAGAGGACAGAATGCCATAATAACAATGTACACAATTTCACAAGTGAAATTTGGTGTACTTCTAGGATACTTTTCTGAATTAATTCCTCAAGTGTTGCAGTAGCCTCTTTCGTAATTACAGGAGCAGGTCTCACATTATGATCAAAATCTAGATCAACTTCCAAAGCACTATTTTTTTTGGGTCATTTAATAGGTAACAGACATCAGAGACGCAACTAAAATCAAAGACCTACAATCACAAGTGTATTAAGAGAAAAGAAAACCAGTTAATAGAACGTCACCTCGCCCTGCATTGTCCACGTCTTTAGTTCCAAGTTTGAAATTTCCATTTCCTCTATCTGAGTACAAAGTCTTGATAGCTCTTTTTCAGGTGTTGAAAGATTGTGATTCAGTGGAATATTTAAATACTGGAGAGGGGGTGAATAAAAATAATGGAGATAGAGAACGATAACAACTTTGATGATAAGTGTCACCTCGCCTGCATATTTGGTCCCAAGTTTGCTTTCTCCGGATCGTCTACATGAAAATGAAGTTTTGTTAGCTCTTTCTCATACGTAGAATAACTTTCTCTTCGTTCTGTAGGATATTGAAAAGAATAGGACCAAAGGTGTAGTGAAAAGGTTCATGTAGATCATTAGGAGGAAGAAACTTGAGAAGCCAGGCAGCTGAAACTGCTAACAACCTTACTGTCATCATTGTCCTTAGGTTCATCATTATCCATGTCATCTAATCCACCAAAATGTTTAGGTCTTCTCTTTTGGTCAATCTTTTTAAGAATAAAAAAGTCTTCATATCTGGCTGGACAAAGCAAAAAGGAGAAAGATATACATTTCTTGGATGTGGAAGCTTATATAAACCCAAAAAACAGACGGAACACATTCATTAAAATCACTTGCATTAGTTTCTCATTATACTAAACGTGAACAACCATTACTTCAAACTTCTGTAGTTCCACCATTTTCAAGTGTATATTTAATATGACTTCCTTTCAGCACATTCAGTGGCAATGTCATATTCAGTTATATAATTTTCCATATGAAATGGAATCAGATTCATGCTAGACAAACAACAATGATATTGCAAATAAATGCAGACGGACATTGTAGGGACAATGTAAGTGTACAAAAAGAGACCAAGCATTTTCCCATCTTTCATCATCGGCGTTGTCAAGTCACATAAGTCCAAGCTGTCATATCTAAGAAATAAAAAGTACAAATAAGATCAGAAGATATTTCGTAAACAAGTAACAGTGCCATTAAGCAGAATCAAGGCAATCTGTAATAAATTATATCAATCCCCTCAAATTCACCAATTCGTACCTTGTCATCCTCCTCGTAATCATCTTCATGTTCCTCGACACCACTTTCCTCTTCATCCACATAGCCCACCCATCCATTAAAGAGGCTGGCAAAGTAGCAAGCACAACTGGACATTATATTACAATTCGCATCCTAAAAACTACAACCACAAAAGGTTCAGATAATACATAACCAAGCTCATGCCCAGAACAATATTTCCTGATACTCAAGTTCACCATATTTCTTTTATGTTTGTTTATAAAGCTTGAGCAATCAACAAGCACATCTATTTAATAAATACACACACGAAACAAAGAAAAATTGAGGGAAAAAAAAATACCATTTGGGTATCTCTCTCGTACAGTGCCCTCAAGACGCCTGAGATCCATCTCCAAATAAACTACATTTGGTATGATGAGACCAAACCAAGTGGCCCAAGAAGGAGCGGTACAACTGGAACCTGAAGAAGCACGAACACAAGTGCATATTTTTAGAACAACAAAACTAAATACACGTTCTATCAAACAATTAAGTACTGTTGAGGCTTGAGTCCTATTTAACGATAAAATAATAAGAGCAGTAATGATGAAATCTGCTCTTGATAGCAGGTTATTCGACAAAGGGCCCTCTTTTAGTAAACCAGCAGACGCACAAATTGTCAATTGCGAAAACTAAGGCAAAAAATCTCCGAACAACTTACTTGTGGATAACTTCCTTGAACATTTCCTCATCCGCAGTCTAGTAAATTAGTTATCTTAATTTTGAAATTGCTCCCACGAGCATAAAAGGATACATTTCATAACCTGGATAAATCAATAATTTTGAACTCAATCGAACGGTTGTAGAACTCAAATTTACGACCTTCCAATAAGAGGATTAGAAATCAGAAATTAATATAATCAATAAATAATGAGATTCAATATATCCACACGTTCACCTTTTAATCATAAAGATCCCCCCCCCCCCAAATCTTGAGAAAATCTTTAGAAAGATTAATTTTTCACCTCACATCCCATCTAATTTCAGCACAAAATAATATAAAAACATGAACTTATACACAAAATAGCAACATTAATCAGGAGAAAGCCAAAAAAAAAAATCCACATCTGGACATGATACAAAATATAAGAAAACAGCATGTCCAAATCCAACAATCCATATCAATAAAAAGACATCACACAGATTGCAAAATGATAATCAACATTTTCCGACATAGTTTAACTATCATAAACAGGTCAACTATAGTCATCATCATATCCAAACTTCACTTAAAAAAAAAGTGAAAAATTTAAATCGCTATAAGGCTAAAGATCGAACCTTATTAGGCGTTCAGGCTGTAGTGAGAAAAAGGTCTCTTCCTCTCCTGCGCTTGTCAACAAATTCTCTGTCTTTATCTCTCAAAGCAATACACCTCAGTTTTTTCTGCCCCTTCCCTCAAATCGGCCGGCAGCAGGATTCCTGGGTCCCGGTGGTGACCCATCGGACCTTCACCTCTCTCTCTCTCTCTCTCTCTCTC